AAATAATCGGTTAATAATTAAAATAATAAATAATCAAATATTATTTAATTATAAATAATCAAATATTAAATATTCGATTATTTATTTAATATTCTATTAATTATAATTAAATATTATATAGACAATTAAAATATGCAATTTAATTATAAATTCTTCTTTTACAATTAGATATTGAGTAAACAATTCAAATACACGATTTAAATTATTTATTTAAAATAAATTATTTTATTTAATTGTTTATTTAAATTTTATATTTCAATTGTTTATTTAATATTAAATTAATTAAAATTAAATATTATATAAACTATTTAATTTTAATTAATTTAATATTAAATAAACAATTAAATAAGAAATTTAATTATAATTGAATATTTAACGACAATAATTACGCATTATACAAATTATAATTAATAATATACTGATGAGTGCAATTAACTCATTAAACAAATACTTTTAAATCTTAGTTTTTAGCTTGTTCTTGAGCACTTTTGAGCGTTTTGATGTGTGTGTTTATATCGTTTTGTAGTTTAACTATATTAGAGAAAATGACGTATTTTGGAGCCTCCGATAAAGCCGTGCGTGATCATAAAAATTGGACTCAAAGAGGAGTTGAAACAAAAAAGAAAAGAAATGAAAAATGATGAATTGGCGGAAATTCGCCAGAATAGGCGGTGATAATAGTGCAATTATCACTTTTTCATCCACTAATAATTGCATTTTCATGATTTATTGGCGCCGAAATATTCTAAGTACACTTGCATTTTGGTTTAGGTTGCAAATGAACGAACGCGATGGAAATTAGAAGAAAAGAGCGAAAATGAACAAAATTGAGGAAAGTGATAGTTCATGGATTAAAGTGCAAATATTCTAAACTTGTTTATAATCTTGTGATGGAAAATGAGTCAAAGTGATGAAATATAGCCATTATCATATATTAATTTTTAAGTTGAAAAATTTTGCACCGATTTTCAGTCTTATATTGAGACCAGTTTTTGACATGAAAAACAATCGAATTCGAAGATGGTATTTGAAGCAAAGTTGTAGCCCTTTGAATTAGCTTTCCAACGCATCTTGAATTACCTCAATCGAATATCGGGGGAGAAAGTTATGACCCAAAAATACTGCAAGGCACGTCGGACCCGGATGGGCCCAGGCGGCCCCAGACCGTCGGGCCGGTTCGGGTCCGGATGGGCGGGCCGTCTGGGTACATCCGGATGTCTGGTTGACCATTTTACAGACGATAGTAAATTTTTCTGAAATTATACATACAGATGAATTTTTTTCTCCTTTTTGTTAAAAATGATTATAGCTCTATTTAAAATCGTAAAATTTTCATATACCTATGTCGAAATAAGATTTAAAAATTAAAATAATGTAGTAATTTTACCGAAACGAAAATTAAAATACGCAAATATAATCACCGATTTCACTAATCCCTGTGAATAATATTTTCATATTGAGAGTTTGATAAATTTATCCGTTTTCAAGTTTGAAGTAGAGGAAAAATGAATTTTTTTTATCTGTGTTGGAGTAAACAGATAAAGAAAGTGATTTTGAAATTTTAAGTGAAAAGTGTTTGGAATTCTTTATAACTTAAAAAATTGTATTATTATCTTTTAAATAATACAATTTTTTGTAATTTGTATAACATTTTAAGGGTAATTTGTCTTTTAATCTTGAGAAGGCTATCGTGCTAAATGGCAAAAACTTTCGAGCACTGTGAAAAAGTGAACGTTTGGTTATGGCATTTGGAAAAGTACCCCTCGGCCTCCTCTGTATTGCAGCTCAAGCAAACTAATATGATCACATTTTCACCGTTTTTCTCCGATTATTTTTCAGGTTCAAAATTTTTCTTCTGCAAGACTGCAAGCCCACGGAAATCTGGTAAAATCAAGATTTTAGTTTTAATTTACTATTAAACCAGGATTATACTCAATCCGGGACTTCACAATTCTTCATAATCAGCTCTATTTCTAGGTTTTATGTGTTAATATGCGTTGATGTATAAACTAATTTGCTGCTATTGTAGCGTAAAAATGAACAAATTGTTAATTTATTAATTTTCTGTTGAAAAAGGTCACAATGATGAAGATTGACTTTAGCCAACTGGAACTGGCGGCCCCGCTTTGCGGAACCAAAGAGCATGACGAGATCTCGAAGCATCCTTCGTTTGAACTTCCTGTTACCAGTAATGTGAGTTCTGCTTTAATTATTTTCTGTTTGGTTAAAAGTAAGTTCCTTGCTGGGAATTTTCTTTAGGTAATATTTGTTATATATATTTACTCTTTTGTTTTGTGTTCGTTAGTTTGATGGGTTTCAGAAAGATGCTGTCCAAATGGTGAAGCCAGCTGATAAGTGCGTTTTTCACACTTATTCGAGGCCTAAAATATCGATATTCGGCAATTCTTTTGATAAAATATATCTTAAATTGTTGTATTTCATGTTATATAGGTTAAACTCAATTGTTGAACGAGTATTGCAAATTCAATAGTTGATTCGGACCACGAGATAATACTTTGAAGATTGATAGGAGACAATTGGATGGAATTAGAATTCAAAAAGGCATGGAATATGATCAAAATATTATCACAATTAATGTCCAATAGCACAAGTTATATTCCAGATTTTTAGCCGAATATTGATACCCATTTTTGGCATTGTAAACGTCCAAATTGGAAAAATTCTATTTCTAGAAAAGTTGTAGCCCTTTGAGCCAACTTTCCAACACACTTTAAATCGCCCCAATCGGATATCGAGAGAGAAAGTTATGACTAAAATACTGACTACTGTGCAGAGATAAAAAAATCATCGTGCGAATGAAACTTTCCTTATTCGATTGGAACTCTTTTTGAAACCAAATTGGACGTGATTTTCAACTAATTTTAGACTCCTACAAATATATAACAGCAGAATACATGTAGGAGGAGATGAGAGAAGACTTTTGAGAGAAGAAAAGAGGCAAGAACGCGAAGATCAACTCCAAGAACACGAAGATCCAATTCAAGAATCGAATTGGTGATGTTGTTCTTTATTTATTTTTCTGATTTTCTTCTTCCCACCATTCTATGCTAGATTAATTCTGTACTAGGGTTAGATAAACTATGTAATATGATTTTTATTTCTTAGTTTTACATTCTTGACAACAAAAAACACGTTTTGGGATATTTGAATGATTTATATGAATTTATTTTTCTCCACAATTATATGCGCGAATGATTGTGTGAGTTTGGTTGCTTATTTCATGCATTCGAAAGAAGGGGAATATGTTCGACATATATAAATCATCATAGGGTCCGATAGGGGATAAACATATACCGCTATACCTTATGTGAATCTTTAAGTGTTTATAAAAACTCATGCATTCTTGTATGTTTTCATCCGTCATAGAGATATAGTCGGGTCGCATATTTGAATGGATTTAACTCTACTCGAGAGAGATTGTTAAATAATTTAGGAGCATTAATTCTTTAATATTACAACCGTGTGTCAAGGTGTAGAATTAGATTTTAAAGGAATATTACATAGAGATTCGTGATCCTAGTACATTCATCGAAAATTAAAACACTTCAACTTACATTTAATGGAGTTTGCATTTAATATAGCTAAATTATTTTTAAGATCTTACTTAGTATTATTTTAATTATAATTCAATCACAACAAACACGTCATTTTATTCTANATTCTCATTTTTATAGTTTCGGTTAAGGTCACGGTAATTAAAATTAGAACTAATCAATTTTCGTGGGAACGATACTTGGACTCAAAATCCATTTTACTACTTGTTAACGAACCGTACATTTGCGGTGATTTTAATTCAACATATTTTCGTGAACACCAGCAAAGGGAACAACTACCCTAGCTTTTACATTCAAGGAAGGTGTTATGGTTGCTGCTGATTCACGTGCTAGCATGGGAGGATATATATGTGAGCCTTGTTGACTAAGTAATTGGTTCTGGCATGTAAAAATGCGAAGCTGCATTTTTTATTTTGAGTGTGCTTGTGAGGAATTCAATCTGTTGCAGCATGAATGTTTATGCGAATATGTTTGTTTGTATAGAATGGAGATGAGAATTGAATCTTGGAAAAGAAATGTATATGTTTAAATGTGGTTTTTTGTTCCAATTCTGAAGCTACAATTCAACGCAGCGAAGTAACATTCTGAATCAGTTACTGACATGGCTAATATAAGGCTTTAACACGTAATCATAGTTCCTGGCATGTAAATACATGGGGATGTAACTTGTAATCTTAAGTTAGCTACATGGTTGTGCACTATGCTCAGGGACATGCTAGATTATTTGGTCACTGTTTTCTTATTCTCTTACATGCGAAGTTATAGATTTCATTCCTGTTCGGCAATGTAAAATTAGTGAAAAAAGTACTTATTGTTTGAGTGTGCTGCAAGTGTATGTCTTCCCTAGTCTTCTTAGAGTAGTTGGATTAAAGCAAATGCAAATAAAATTATTCCAAACTCGTGCCAGTTTTGAATAATTGAGATGGATTTAAGCAACCCATAGCTCAGAGTTTTTGACAAACTGAGAATTAATTTGGGATTTTCATAGTGAGCAGAGTTCCATGTTAAACTTGACAGTTCTTCTATTAGCGAGGAACTCTACCTTCATATCCTGAGTAATGCAACCATTTTTCATGGAGACTCATGAAATTTTTTTACTTTGACCTTTTTCTTCAAATGCTTTTTGACAGACCCCAGTAATATTTTTGTCCATTTCTGAGTCATGATCCATAGATGTCCTGAAAATTGTTTGCTGGACTAGCGTGCATTTTTAATCAATGCAACACTTGTGGTCTGACGGTATATGTTTATTTATGCTTTGGGGGGTTGCAAATTGATACTCATGTATACTATGGATCTTAGTTTTAATATGTTGACATTTGTCGACTGCTTTTGTTACATTAAGGTGAATAAAGCATATGCTTAACTAAAAATAGGTAAGACGTTATGTTATGTTTGTTTGGTGATTCAGCAGTATGCTTTTATCACAAACTTTTGCATTTTTAATACTGTAATATTTCTTTCCACTCTCATATTTGATTGGGTCTACCTCTCCATGTTATTATGTCAGCATCACAATCTGTGAAGAAAATCATTGAAATTAATCCCTACATGCTTGGCACACTGGCTGGAGGTGCTGCTGACTGCCAGTTCTGGCACAGAAATCTGGGTGTTAAGGTATTTTAATTGAATTTGCCACTGATCATGATTTAGTTTCTTTTATCACTGTCATTCTCATTGAGGAAGATAGATAGTTGATTTGTGCATTTTGTAGATTAATGCATTATGCTAATTGGGTGGTTGGTCCCTCTAGCATTGGTAACTCTGACATTTAAATCTAGAAAAATAGATTTGCAAAGCTGTAAATCTTGCTTTTCACTTTTTTCAAGTTTCCAAATAATACAATATGGTTTTCATATTTAATAATTCACAAAAAGAATGATTAGGACAAAGTTATTTGAACCAATTGCCTACTATGGTTGCTAGATAATTTACCAGCTGATGTAATTTAGATGCCGTTTGGTGGCTTGTTATATGTTTTCTATAATTGCTTGGGGTGCCAACATGCCCCCTGAGATACTGCCCTTGTTTGAGCCCCATTTTTGGAAGATAATGTATTTTGGAATGGTGATTTTTGGAGAATGTGTGATTAAAAAATAAGAAAAAGTTTTTGGTTTATGTGTAAAATTATTTTATGGAAGAATGTGGAGTTGGAAATGAGTTTTTGAAAAAATGGGGGCCATAGTTTCAATTTGAACAGCAATGATTGGATATAAATACGTTAATTTTTTTGTTACATTGTACGAATACAAGATTACTTTATTTTATTCATTTTGCTGCAACAATGCTATTTGATGGTTATCCTGCATACTTCAGTGTCGATTGCGTGAGCTGGCAAATAAGAGAAGAGTATCCGTAACTGGAGCTTCAAAGTTGATGGCTAACATTCTCTATTCTTATAGGGGAATGGGTTTATCTGTTGGAACTATGATAGCTGGCTGGGATGAGAAGGTAACGAGTGAAATATAATAATATAGCATGCCATTGACCTTCATCCTTTGGATGTTTATAATGCTTTTGCAATTTGGTGTAGGGTCCTGGCCTGTATTATGTGGACAGTGAAGGAGGAAGGCTGAAAGGAACTAGATTCTCTGTTGGATCTGGTTCACCATATATGCTTATGGTGTTTTGGACAGTGGGTGAGTTATTCGTTTTCCTGTTGTGAAAGTTTCACAATTTTCTTCTAAATTGTTGAATATTTGAACATCATGATATGAAACAAGAATCAGAATTGCTGCAATGTTTTCTTGCACCAGTTATATATATTGTACTAGTAATATCTATGCATCACATTTGCTTGTGGCCTTTGATTGCAAATAAACTATATACATTGAGACTCTTGCAGATGACTTTTTACATGACTCGTATTTATTAATACTTCTACTTCTGCTTTCATTCTTCAGCTTTAATCTAATGCAATTGCTATAGGGGGACCTTAATGTTGTTTTTTGTTGTAATTGTGTAGCTACCGTTGTGATATGTCTGTTGAAGAAGCTGCAGAGTTGGCAAGACGGGCTATTTATCATGCAACATTCCGTGATGGAGCTAGCGGTGGCGTTGCCAACGGTAATGCACTCGTCCCCTTCATCTGATTATTCCCTTCCTCATATTTCTGTGTGCATGCTGGTTCAATCATGACCTGGGTTTTATTGCAGTTTATCACGTTGGACCAAATGGATGGACAAAGCTATCAGGCGACGATGTTGGAGAACTTCACTACAAATACTATCCAGTTGAAGCAGAAGTTGTAGAACAGGAGATGGCTGAATTTTCAGTTGCCTGAGAGAGTGAGCGAAAAAAGTAGAATATTTGCTAATTGCTACCGTGTGCTTCTGAATTACATTCAAGGCATTAGGCGTGCTCAAACTTGTTTCGCTTGTAGTATTTTGTTTTATAAACAAGCCCTACCATTCTTGATGCAGTTCAATTCTTGGCTTTCCTTTCCTCTTCAAATCAGGCCACCGACTATCCTTCATTTGTGGGGTGCTTTCTTTTGTGTTCCTGCAGTGAATCTCTTTGTTTACAACGTGAATTTTTCAAGGGATTACACAGTTTTCTGTTTACGAGTTGCCTGATTTCTTTGATTGTTGCTGAATCTATGTTCTCCCATTCAATTGTCAAAAAAATTGCATTTCATAATCATGGTACAAGAATGTGCATAAGCAACTTTGCTTTGTTGTTAATTCAAGGCATTTCACCTTAATGAAATTAACGAGCAAGGAAATGGGACCCCCACCCACCGCCCCGACATGATATAGGTTAGGCCCAATAGGGAATAATAAGGCCCAATAAGAAACAATAAGTGGGTTGTCAACAGATAGAAGCCATCCAAATTTGGGTTGGGCCATGAGCAACACTAATTAAGGTGGAAATTATATCAATCCCTACTTTTCAAAACTTAAATTCTAACATCAGATGTGAAGTTTATTTTTTCAAAAATCAGATATTTTATATATAGATACAGATTTTTTTTATATTTAATTAAATATTAATTATAATATTATAAAAAATAATTTATATACACCCCACCCCATCGTAAATCCCTAATTTCTTACTGTAACTCTCTCTCTCTCTCTCTCTCTCTCTCTCTCTCGCGGCGGCGTGGAAGGAGTCTCTCTCCAACTGTGCCGCCACCATGCCCCCGAAATGGGTCGCCTGTCGAACGAGACATTGGAGGCGCAGCCACAGATCGCGTCTCCCACCGAAATGCGTCGCCCACAGATCACTTCTCTTCCTATTCGTCTCTCACTCATTTAAACAATTGATCCCCAACCCAGTCATTGCAACACCACCCGCTCCGATTGTTGTGGTCACAGCCACAAATCACTGAGGTACTAGCTCCGATTCCATTTTCCATCAGACGACCCGACTGCTCTTGCTCCGAATCAGGCTCGTCAACTGTTTACCCAGCTTTTTGATTGTAAAGGCTTCAATTCCGCATCGATTTTGTGCACTAGAACTTCGTGTCTCTGCCTCTATAGACTGCTACAGATCTGGAGGTGGTCATAGTGTTTGTGGATTTGAGGTGGCGGTGGATTGTGCAGTGTGGTGGTCATTGTGTTTGTGGATTTGAGGTGGCGTGAAGATGGCGGCCACGCCAAATTTGGGTGATTTTTGTTTGTTGTTGAGCGTTTCCATGGCATGGTGATGTTTGGGTAGTTTTGTGGATCTAATAATTTCTATGGTGGTGGCGGCGATATTGTTGGTGCTGGAGATTGTCATGGTTTTTGGTTTGTCGTCGATTGGTGAGGCTGTGTTGGCGACGTTAGTGATGGTGGTTGTGGTGAGTTGCCGGCTGTGGTAGTAGCGGCGGAGTAAGGTTAGGGCATGTAAGACGGTGGTGGTAAGGTGGCGCTGTATAGTCTATGTGACAATTGTGGTAGTTGTGGCGGTGCTCAGGAGTTGAATGAGAGGGGGTTTTCCGGTTTGAGGTGGTGGTGGCGACGACGGTTTGACGGTGAGGTGGTGCTGGCTTGCAGGCAGTTGAGGCGGTGTTTTTTTTTTTTATGGTGGTTGTGCGGTGCAGGCAATGGTCTGACGGTGCGGTGCGGGCATCAGTTGTTTGAATCAGTGTGATTTGTGACCAAATGTGACCATATAATGGATTACCTGTGACCTTAAAATTAGACAATTTGTGACCAATAAATTTGAAAATATGTGATTGATAGATAACTATGACCTATAATTTTTTTATCTGTGACCTATAAAATTATTGATTTGTGACCACAAAATAATCCGTGACCTGCAAAGTTTTGATTTGTGACCAATAAACAAATTGTGACCTATAAAATTTTTGAATTGTGACCTCGAAATAATTCGTGAACTATAAAATTTTTTATTTGTGACCTAAAAATTATATAATTTGTGACTGTGAATCTATAACTAACAATTTTGGTAGTCTGTGATCGTGTGACCTATAAAAAAATAATTCGTGAACTATAAAATTTTTATTTGTGACCTAAAAATTATATAATTTGTGACTGTAAATCTATAACTAACAATTTTGGTAGTCTGTGACCGTGTGACCTATAAAAATGTTGTAATCAAAAATCAATATTAATAGGTCACATGTGGAAAAGTCGCTGGAATGGTCATCGGAATAGTTGCCGGAATCGGAGAAGTCGTTGGAACGATCGTCGGAATGGTCGCCGGAATCAGAGTAGTCGCCGAAGCAGTAGGGGTGGTGGAGGTGAGGTGGGTTAACTATATTATATAATATATATTTTTTTTATATTTATATATATAAATAAAAAATATATGTGTATGTATATGTTAAAATATCTGATTTTAGAAATTTCAAAGTTGTTTTCTTATTTTTGAAATGATATGTAGGGTAAATCTTATATATGAATTTTTCCCCTAATTAAATTATGTTGCTTCAAATGACTCAACTGGATTATGGGATTGGTTTACCAAATTGTGATGCCGATATACCTTCAGTCATTTGGTTGATGCTGACTGAACTAAACAATACTTACATCATTGCCCATGGAGGTCGGTTTTGATACCCAATAATATAGATGTTTAAAAACTAGACGAGAGTTGTAGCTAAAAACTATCTTTACCATGAAGCAAATGATTCTTTCTTCTTGTTTTTTCATTATCCCATCCTTTTGCCAAGGAATATTGTGCTGAAAAGGAATTTATCACTTTTGCATTCTGATTCATAAATCTGTAGAATCAGTTGTCACTTAAACGGGTGCTACGTTAGTAATGCTAGGAATAAGTTAGTGTACACCAAGTTTGATAGTTCTAAAAAATATACAATTTTCTCTCCGATCATTTTTTTACAACAAGGCAAGTGTCAAATGTGATGTACAATTTAGAGTGTACAAATGGCATATCCCAAATTTAATGGCATAAATGTTAGTCAATTTCTTGGACCATTAGAGGATGAACTTGGGAACATAAATAGGCTACTGCCATATTCCAACGTGCAATTGGACACATCACTTGTCCATAATTGTTTTCCCAATATCCAACTCTTTTTTTTTTTTAATCTACTTGATGAATGATACATAGATAATCAAACACACCCACTTTTGTTGCTTCTAAGCATGTTTTCATGATTGGGATTTTGAGGACAAAGAAAAAAGTCAATTACGAGGGAAAATAAGTACTTACAAGTGGAAGAATTATGTGCCTTAGCCTAAGTTGCTGTTTTGTTTACTTGGATGGGATGCTAAGATTTAATGATTAGTGATTTAGCTTTTCTCCTCATGTGTGCCAATCCCCTCTACGCCGCCGGCTTCCCAAATTTGTGCCGTGTTAGATTCGTGCATAACTGATACACAATACGAAAAAACATAATTTTAGGTTCTTTTCTTTATTATAGTAATATCGAAATATACCATAATATTACTTCAGAAATCATAATAAAATCAATATGTCTTGAATATACTTACTTGTTATGAAATGTTTTTACTCCCTCCCTCAATAATTGATCAAGGTAACCCCATAACCCTACTTATTACGAGCATTTACTCTTCCTGACCCCAGCCATGTTCCGGATGATGAGCCATTTCCTCAAACTCAGGCCGGAGTTAAGGGACGAGGACAAAGCTAGTGATTTTTTTTTTTTTTTGGGCTAATATAGAAGGAAAAAAATTCTGTTTTACAACATTTTAAACTTCTTCTAAAATGCGTATTCAAAAATGTTGCAATAATTATTTTCCCCCCTTTTGATTTAGGGAGAGAGATTACGACTTTTAAAATAGTAAAAAATGTTTCAATTCAAGAAATCGAAACAATAATATTTGAAGAAAATAACAAATTAAAAGTAAAATTTAAATGTCTATACGAATCAAAGAAAATCAACACGGCATAAAAATGAGCAAAAGGGTTCAGATTTGCTTAGTGAACCCAAATAGTTGAGAAAAAAGACGAATGCAAATCTTAGGACATCAAAGTTGTTTTTGATGAATTTGAAGTTGAGGAATAACAAAATCAACATTTTAAGAACAAAATTGTACCGTATCAAGTTCCAAATTAGAGTATAGAGATGTATATTTTTACATTGTGTGACATCACAAATCACTGTTTCTTTGCTGTTTCATTGCTTTTCTTCTACTACCCACCTCCTACTGTTAAGAAGAGTGGCTGTGGAGCCCATTAATTAGAACCCCTCCTCATACTCCAGTCTTTTTCTGATAAATTACTCAACTCCCCGAGGCCAAACCCCACCAGCACCACCGCCGCTAAATACAGTATGAAAAATTACAAAGCATAACAGCCTTTTTTTTTTCCACCTAAAAGAACAGCCTTTTCAATCTCTTTTTATATCTTGATTTGTACTGTGTTTTTGTACCATGGTGTTCTTGCAAATGTTTTGTTTTTTTACCATTGTTGTTTTGTTGAATTTTGACGGAGATATAAAATTTGGAGCTTGTTTGACTTCCGACGGCCTGTCTTTACTTTCCTTGAAGTCCGCCGTGGAGGCCGCTACCGCTGCCGCCGCCTTTCCCGCCTGGAATGAGAACGATGCAACGCCGTGCCACTGGAGCGGAATTTCATGCATGATCTCCGGCGTCTTAATTTGCATGATAACGACTTTTATGGCTCCATTCCGGATCAACTCTTCAATGCTTCATCACTACATAGCATCTTTCTCTACGGTAATAGTCTCAACGGTTCTCTACCCCCCTCTATGTGCAACCTTCCCCGGCTCCAAAATCTTGACCTCTCGAAAAATTCCATATCCGGGCAACTCCCGAAGTTTCTGAGGAACTGTCGGCAATTGCAAAGGCTTATT